GTTGAGCTATGGCGGCAGCTTTACTATTTGAAGGAAAACACATTGCCTGAGTAATCAAGAGTGTTTCTAGTGTGAGCGTTTTACAATGCATCTTTTTTATCCTTCCCGTACCCGGGGTATCAAGAAAATACATTATACTGGTTCTAATTGAATGAGTGTCTGAGCAGAGCTTGGTGGAAAATATAAATAGGAATCAAAGTTCGTCTGCATCCAGGAGGTTCGGAGCCCAATCGCCGGCTTTGGATATCAAAGCAGAAAAATGGTCGACCTTGAAGTGAGTTGTTGAGAAAGAGCAACATTTGAAAGGTACTTTGTCTCAAGATTTCGTGAATAAGCAGTGGTCAAGTATGCATAGATGAAAAATACCGGCGGTCCAGCAAGAGGTGTTCTAAGATGATTTGACGACACTCACTCTCAATTTGTGCCCGGTAGGCGTGCTGAGAGAGTGCGTTGTGGCCACATGAGCACATTATAGCATGTCATTGGAAGGCGGATAAGTCAGGGGGGCCAGTAATAGGATCTTGACGAAATCACTTGGATCGGATAAGCAGCAACCGAAAACAATTTCAGGTTTATTCACAACCACAGAATGTCGCTTTTGTACACTGAGTAAGTGCTGCGAAAGCAGCATGAAAATGGCATTTGAAACTGTGGTCTGAGTTACATAACCGACAAAATAGTGACTTAGCATCAAAGACACAAAGACTAAGTGCTGTCAGAAAGAGTCGGATAGTGAACTAACGAGGACCAACAAGTCCCGGTGAAGCCCCAGGAAATGACGACAACTATGCGGCCGGTACGATGTATACAACCATCACATAGGGCGCCAGTTTACCGCCGCATAGGTCAAGTAGATCGGATCGCCGGGGTTTGCCCCACAAAATGATAAAACGTGGCTGAGAACCAGTGGAGAGTGAGTGGGGTCGAATAATATAAATGTGTGTTGTCGGTTTAAGAGAAACAAAGTCTCGACACATCTCGTACACCTCCTGTCGATGAAAATATTTAACAATGACAACCAGTTTTATCTGAAAGCAGCCTTAAGTACAAATTAGTGCTTACCTTTTTGAGTCACTGGAAGGAGACGCTGAGCGGTTTTGAGAAGAGAAAATCCAAGGTTTGTGTTCGAATAACACACGTAAACAGCGGATCACATAGAAGAGGCCGAGGAACACAGGTGCCTCGGGACCTCGGGACAAATCTGAGACATGGAATATCAAAGCGAGGACAGAAAGGTCAGCACTTCTGGCGCAATAACCAGTGTCTACAGTACAACAAGCGGTGGTTAGTACACTTATGTAATTCAGTTGCGCATGCATAAACGTGCGTACAATGGCATTATTAGGACATACTGTATTTCAGTGCGACTGAAGTGAAGTTGCCCTTAGTTTGGCCGTAAAGTGCTTTTCAATTCAACCAAAACATGGCAGTGGCACCAACGACAGCTGATAGGGTGAATGGGGTGTGGTTTGTAGAGTAGCTGATGTCTTTCTGCACTCACAGATACGGCAAACCATTGTAGCTAGTAACCAGTTATGGCGGTCCGCCGTCGTTACTCACGGCTTAGTGGCTCTAGTCATTGGCTGATAGGAGCAAAGTCTCGGGTTTGGATACAGTAGGACGCGAAGGATGAGTGAAGCGATGAATCCAAATGAGACGAAACAGCCGCCTGGCAATTTTTCGGATATGTGATGACTATCTGACTGAGTCTGAACGGAATGAATTTTTGCGAAAAACAGGAAGTTCCTACTACACGCTAACATCCAGAGAGCGTTTGAATGCATGCGGAAATCTAGAGGATGTGGTAATTTTTCATATCTAGTGCTTCAAGTTAGCACACGTAAACCGCAATGCGCTTCACACAGACTTCGTAATAAACGAGCGTTCACGGAACAACCTAGTGAACAGATACCAAAATCAAATCATGGCAACCACCTCGGATAGATAATAACGCGCTTCAGGTGACCAGACAGCGTGAAAGGTAGGACAGTGGCGCATACGAGTGATGCGAGTCGGTGGTCTAGAAAACAGAACAACAAACCTGTGAGCATGATAATGTAAAAGAGTAGCTCATGCACGCTGCATTAGGCGATTGGGCGGGTATTTTATAGCAACAGGCAACCATCGCACCTCGTTGGTGTGTAGAAATTACGCGTACATACGTCTATGGATGGTGTGAGGAAATTGGCAGCGATAAGGTAGTGGACAGTAGTTGAGGTAGTGTGTCAGCAGACACAGTTGATCAATCTCAAGGGAATTGGATTATAACTGCGCTCAGATTATAGTGGAAGTCGAGCAAACGTTTTTGCCCACTGCTACCGAGTGGCCAAGTTTCGTTGAATGGACATTGAAAACCGGCAAGAAACGCAGCAGCTTTCATGCGGCTAAAGAGTACTGTCTTTTCCCCAAGTCCAGAGCGAGTGTTAGTCAAAGGCAAAGACTCGGAACTATAGCAGAAAAAAAATTCGGAGCTGGATAAACTTCCTCTTATTCAGATGCACAATTAAGGGCCGTTGAACAAAGTGGGGTGTAGCCAGCTGCACAGACGATGGCAGCGCGATACCAGAAATCAGTAACATGAGATCAAGCAAAAGCCTGTCGGGAAGATTGTGAATAACATTGTAAAACGTCGGTTGCATGGAGTAAGAGAGTATGCAGGAGAGTTCTGACGTCACGACTGTAGCGCGCAAGTGGTGTGGTACATAACCACCTATGCGACCTTTTACACGAGATCCAATATGTGAATGCATAGCTACCATAGGACTATAAGTACCCCAAGATGGTTCAATGGATATCCGAAGAACGAAAATCCTCACACCACGTTGAGGTCCAGTCTCCTCCTCAATCGCGAGACTTTGGTACCTATAACACAGTTTGCTAACTCAACAAATGAGAAATAATGGGGGGAAGTAAAACCTGAACTAAAACCCAAATGGGAAAAACAAACAGTGGGGAATAAGAAAGGTCACCAACGCAAAGGGTTGAAAACAGTGTCCTGGTGCGATGATAATACAGTACTGCTAGACAGGACTTCCAAGCAGCGTTCGTTACCGCATTTAAATAGACCTAGCTCCACAGAGGCTTAAACAACTTGTATACTTTAAACAAACAATCCAGATAAGACAAAACTACAGACACACCATGGAGACCTGACAGCGAACCAAATCACCTTCGAGCGTAAAGGGTAGGCTGTCTGCACACTAGGGTGGAAAGAGAAACGAGCCGACAGTAGCCAACAGAATGGTAGGCAAGTACAATATTGCTGCCAAGTCAACGACTTCCATGCTACAACAATATTGAAAAGGAAACAACGTTCAAAGTGATGCAGTTTAAATTTGAAGCAATCAAAGAACCTCACAAGGGCAATGCGAGGCTGATCCCAAACTCAGTCAGTTTGTACAGATTACGTTTCAGCTTTCGAATTGCTGAACCTTCAGCAAACTGAAGCAGGCGAGCATTACACTAATCATTAATTATCCTGAACGATTCGCAGGGATTGTGACACATGGAGTGGTTTAGGGTGCCGACTAATGGAGCTAGCCGGCAACCTGGGACCATTCGAGACCCTAGTGCGTGAAATGTGCACTGTAATCCTGGTCGACAAACTTCTCTCAGTTCCGCCCACGTACTTGCTACCGCAAGTACAATGCAAGAGGTAAACACATGAGGCGGTACCTGGAGGGTCTCATTTATCCAGATTGGATTTGCATAGCTCCTTTGTTACTTGGTGTAGTAACACATGTTTAGCCGCGTAATAACACTTCTTTATTTTTGAGACTAATTTAGAAACGTTGCTTTCCATGCTAAATGTGGTCAAACTTTTCGATCTTCAGCAATCCACGAGTGCGCTCATGGGATCGGGGCCGAACAACTTATGACAATAGTAATTAGTAAATAATGTCACTTATTACACATGCAACAAAACATTGCATAACCTTTCCACAATGAATGGAGTTTATCCATGAAATAATAAGGAAACGCTATACAAATGACCGTTTCACAAAAGGGAACGTGTCCCCATCATCGGAAAATATACCCATTTGTTTATTTTATCTGGCGGAGACGGTGCCGAAATCTTCCGTCATTTTGGTCCCCTTTAAACGGTAGTGTAACGCACACTTTTTCTTAACGACGTCTGTCCGTTGTTTCTCACCGCCTTCTGTGTTTGATTGTCGTGCTATAAATCGCTCGTGGTATCCGTTTTTACGTAGCGTTGATGATATGTGCTTCAGCTCGGTGCCGATGGTATTATGGGAGCTACTACAAACGAGCGTTAGTTCGTGCTGCCTTCGTGAGAGCTCGAAACCTTTGCTCTGTAGATACCGTCGGCACCTAGCCGGAGCACATATCATCAACGCTACGTAAAAACGGATACCACGAGCGATTTATAGCACGACAATCAAACACAGAAGGCGGTGAGAAACAACGAACAGACGTCGTTAAGAAAAAATGTGCGTTACACAACCGTTTAAAGGGGACCAAAATGACGGAAGATTTCGGCACCGTCTCCGCCAGATAAAATAAACAAATGGGTATATTTTCCGATGATGGGGACACGTTCCCTTTTGTGAAACGGTCATTTGTATAGCGTTTCCTTATTATTTCATGGATAAACTCCATTCATTGTGGAAAGGTTATGCAATGTTTTGTTGCATGTGTAATAAGTGACATTATTTACTAGTTACTATTGTCATAAGTTGTTCGGCCCCGATCCCATGAGCGCACTCGTGGATTGCTGAAGATCGAAAAGTTTGACCACATTTAGCATGGAAAGCAACGTTTCTAAATTAGTCTCAAAAATAAAGAAGTGTTATTACGCGGCTAAACATGTGTTACTACACCAAGTAACAAAGGAGCTATGCAAATCCAATCTGGATAAATGAGACCCTCCAGGTACCGCCTCATGTGTTTACCTCTTGCATTGTACTTGCGGTAGCAAGTACGTGGGCGGAACTGAGAGAAGTTTGTCGACCAGGATTACAGTGCACATTTCACGCACTAGGGTCTCGAATGGTCCCAGGTTGCCGGCTAGCTCCATTAGTCGGAACCCTAAACCACTCCATGTGTCACAATCCCTGCGAATCGTTCAGGATAATTAATGATTAGTGTAATGCTCGCCTGCTTCAGTTTGCTGAAGGTTCAGCAATTCGAAAGCTGAAACGTAATCTGTACAAACTGACTGAGTTTGGGATCAGCCTCGCATTGCCCTTGTGAGGTTCTTTGCTTGCTTCAAATTTAAACTGCATCACTTTGAACGTTGTTTCCTTTTAAACGCAGTACCATCGTTCCACGGACTGTATGTTAACAGCTGATGAGAATACGCGAAGTAGCTGAATTCAGAATATTCTGTTTGTTCTTGATATCGCGAAAATTGTTAAGGGAAAATCCCACATGGATACAAGTTAATTATATTTGCAAATAAAAGAGAGACGACCACTGCCGTTTGGTGCTCGCCTACCCACCATATCAGTGCGAAATGCTGCTACCAATTTGAACCACTTTAGAAACAGCGCTATAGACCAACTCAACTTCGGAAGATAACTGCTAACATGAAAAGGCAGAACGGTTAGAAAAGTAGTGCGATTTTGCAGTGATGAACCATTATGAAGATGCCACGAAGGGCAGTGGACTCGGTTCTCTGACTCACCATCCAATAGATGAAAGCCCTCGTTCAGCATCCCAACCAAAACGGCTTGCTCGTGTCGCTGCCGTTCGTCACCCAGTGCCGGTCTAGTCAAGTTGTAGTTCACTTTTCCCCTAAACTCGGCTTTTGTGGCACCTTTCGGTTTTTTGCTCGGGGTCAAGGCGCTCGCGTACGGCTCCATTTTAGAGAACAACAGTTTCGGAGTTTCCATTTCAATGAAAGACAGATCCATGGAGGTGGTGGTTTCGTTCCAATTTGCAAATTGGCACAAGTTCAGACCATTCAAAGGGATATACGTGAGGATTCTTGAATTCGTGTCAGAAGGTATAGACGGTGGGTGGAAGACAAACGGATGGGATCCACCGGTGCAAGCTGAGTACATTGAGTACTGATCGTCCTTGAAGTAAGCAAGTGTAGTCTCCAGCAAATTGATACGATCGTTAGACCGATCCCGAATGGACTGGTGAATAATGGAGATGATAAAAATACTCACGACACGGTAAGTAAAGGTGAAATAGGAACAGTTCTGTTGGAGAGGAAACGTACACACCAGGTAAACACAGGCTGTGATAGAACGAATGGAAATAGTTAGGTTAACAAAAAAATAAGGTTCGAGGTTAACCAATAGACACAATGCACCTGAAAGACGATGCAGTTTAGTGCACATTGAAGGACGCTCACAGCGTTATGCCAACGGAGAGCTGTTTGACTATAAGGTTAGTGGGGAACCTTAGCATCCACAGCAGTACATCAATAAGTGAAAGTTGTGCCTCATTGCTATACAACCACAATGACCACAGTAAGGAGAATTAATGAAGGAATCGGAAGGACTGGGTGCAAAACCTAGATGCTCGAAGTCAGGCGCAAGCTGTCAACACATGGAAAACAACGTAGTCAGAGACGCCTGCCCATTGTGCCTCTGTGAGGTTATCCCTGCACCAAATCATGATCAGCCTTACTCAACAGAAAATTTAGCATCAGATATAATTTCAACAGGCAATTCGGTCAGACAATAGCAAACGAATCATTGGAACATACTATGAAAAATTTCCTGTAAGTTTCAAGACAAGTGCAAGACGAGCCGCGTGGACTCACACTTGGGAGCTGACATAGACCAACAGTATCCAGTTTTGAAAAATCCCATAGCAGGATCAGAAGTCAGTGTAAGCGAACATATATTTTCGATAATTCCTCATCAGGCTTGTACAGTTATATACAACTAAAAACAAAAGGGGTAGACAAACATTACCAGTCGCTAGTCCAGGAGCGAGTTAAATACTGACAGTAGCTGTCCGTTAGGTTACGACAATTGACCTTGCGGCTCAGAGGTGGTCAGGCGTTTGGGACAGGCTAGTCCTAACCCTCTAGTCAGCTTCTTCTGGATACACAGCCTAGTGTCATATAGTCGTATCGCAATTGCCTCAGCAGCTTCTAGTATTCTTTCACGCACGTAGTTCGGTCAATTCGCCGGGGTCTGAAAGATAGTTTTGAAAGAGTCAGCTGCTTTAGTGGCATGCCCTGTGTCAGGGAGGTGCGCGGCTATTGAGGAGCTGACTGGTTTTCTGGTTTCATTTCTAAGCCACGTCGGGTGGTGTTCCTTCACTCGCTCGGATAGAGGCCTTGTCGTACGACCGACGTATTCTGCTCCACAGACGCAGGAAAATGAATAAATACACATTGAATTGGCGTGGACAGGCCCCTTATCCTTTAAGTCCAATTTCACCATCGGAGTGCTAGTGAACTGGATTTGCATCCTTGCTGCGGGTAGGTACATCTGAGTGTAGGTGAAAGACAACGAAATAGAAGTTCCAGCGTAACTTCGCCATTGTATGGCAGCTATAAGAAGATTGGCTTACGTTCTACTGTCAGTACTACGGGCTGTGTGCTACTATTGCATGTTGGCTCTAAGGAAACTTTCGGGTTAGCCATTCGCCACCAAGCGAATGCACTCCAATTCCTTGGGAAACATGTCTTCCGAGAAAATTTTTCAGCTCGGCTCACTAAAGTATGGCTCAGTTCAGTTGTCATTGGCTCCAAGTAAACCATTGCTCTCCTCAAACTGCGCCGTTCGGTATCCGGAAAACAAAACTAAGCGCTTCCTGAGAGATTGACGGCGCATGCACACAGTACGTGACCAAGTCAATGCAGCTTAATCAATGTTTTTGTTGCTTTAGGGAACCAACTTGATCATCGCCGTTTCATGGCACCTCAAGGCTGCGGACTCACTGGTGTCACTCTCTGTAAATAACCATGCACAAAAATTTCAAGGTGACTCAGATGCACAGACCAAAGGGGCAAAATCGCACTCCCATGGAAAAGAATGACCCTAGTTGTAGCCTTGCACACATGGTTTATCAGATCAAGTAAACTTCCATTCTAGCGTCTCAAGTGTCACAGTATGTGAGGTGAAGTTATCAATCACACACCCGTTGTCGTTAATACATCTGATAAATGAATGGACAAACGATCCCCAGTTCCACGTTGTCAAAAGTCGACGGACTATTAAGCGGTTGGAGGTTATACAATAACACTTCGCATCTCAGATGGAGACGCAACGTATGCAAGCTTTTGGCCGGGTCCGCAAGTACGGCACCAAGTGGTTAGTGACTTTTGCACCATGTTGGTACTTTAGAAGCCCAATGAGGTGTGACAAGTTAACTGAACAGAAGAGGTAAGGAACCTGTGCAGGAAATTTATTTGAAGTTTTCCGCTCTCAACATTGCATTCCATACTTAGTTTCGTCCTTGTTTGCATTCTTCTAGCAGAGGCGGTTGGGCGCTGCGACCACTGGACAACACACTGGCCAATAGAGTATTAAACTCCACGAGCAGTGCCAAACGAGCGAATCGAACATACTTAGGATCAACGACAGCCTTGGAATTGGGTAAGGCATCAGCAGTAGGCCGGTACACAGGAGCGACGCTTCACTTCCGCGCAGCCACCACCAATCGCGCCTGGGATACGGCGAGAGTCGTCCGGTCCCTACGCAGGCTCGAATCCGCGCCCTCGGATTACAAGGCAGGCTTCTGATAATTAAAGTTACAGACCGGTTGAGAGTTGGGTTGTCTGCCTCAATCCCCATGGACGAAACCGGTCATGGAGTGATGTAGCGAAGTAATCCGATAAAAGGATGTGACCTCATCGCGGATGTGAGCACAGGGATTTTGGTGGCCCAAACTGAGCTTAAATCAAGTCACGAACTCTAATTAAAATGGAATATCGCAATTCGAACACTGAGCGGGTACTCCAAAGTAAGATGTTAGTGCACCACGTAAACAGGTGCACCGAATGGGTCGTCAAGGCACAGCAAGCAGTTACTGTGCCGTCATATGACTACCACTGTTCGAGAAATGTCAGAGGAGAACAGCAAGCGCACCAGTTGGTAAGACAAACACGAATGTGCAAAGAGAAAAAAGGGCCGAATGAATAAAGTACAAACCTTAGTTTATTCAGTAAAGCTTTAGGATAGAGAAACAGAGTGGGTGTAGAATAAAGTCCTCTTTAACTGAGTCATCAATCTCCATCAAACAAGTATCTGGTTGCGGTTTCCTGGATGAGGGACTTAAGGTCTCAGCCGCGGAACGTAGCGACAATGTACCAAATGATAGGTGTCAAAAGCGTTTGTGGTAGTGAGACTTGGCGCATTCGGTCTGAAGAGCTGAGGCGTCTTCAAGTCTTTGATCATCGTTGTCTGCGAAGAATTGCTAGTGTCGGGTGGCACCGGCGTGTCCGCAACGATGATGTGCGTAGGCGAGTAGTAGGTGGTGATGATCATGCTAGCTCCCTAGAACAACAGATAGCACTGAATAAATTGCGTTGGCTTGACCACGTACTATGTAGGCCCGGTCACCGCTTATCTAGGAGGGCTTTGTTTAGTCTGCCAGGTGTAGGGTGACGCAAGACTCGGGGTTGACAAAAGTTGACTTGACAGCGGGAAATGAAGTCACTGACGACCAAACTGGATGCTGTTGGTCCGCCTCGCCTTCCGGGCTGGATTCCACGTGACTCACCTTGTGCTTCGCTCGAGACTTTACAGGACATGGCTCGCAGTAGACATCAGTAGCGCGTCTGCTGCCGTCTCCTAATCGGATTGCCAGCTTAAAGTGTGTTTGGTGCTGAGTTATCTGGTGGATAATGGCTGATTATGACGCGGGGCAGTGAAAGCCGCAAGGAAGCTGTCTCATCGACGCCGCCTTATCTTTGCACGATAGCCAGCTGTTTGTATGTTGGCTACACAAGGTGTAGGCGCCGTGACCCTGAATGTTTGCTTAGGGCATTAAGATTTTCCGGTAAGTCCCCTTTCTCCCTCTCTTCTTATTCTTTATTTCATAGGTCCTCATGGTTATGTGGCATGGAAACATCAGTTCAAATGGCTGATGTACTGCTGTTGATGATGATGTCAAAAGCGTACCACCAAATGAACCAAAATTAAAATAACGAGGAAATACTTCCGCTACTAGCCGAACGATTTATGATGAAAAGTAGCTCACAGGTTTGTGGACGACTCGTATAAGCTGTTGCCGTAGCGTTAAAAAAGCCGGTATGCCAAAATTCGATCCTCTGAGGTAGTGTGTTACGAGAAATGAAAAAGTGCCCATTAAATTACATGCTACCTGGTGAAAAGATAAAAACGAATGGAAACCTACGGCCTCTCGAAGATGGGCATATAGTTGGCTCAAACATCTAGAAAGAAGACTGCAGCGGACGAGCTGTTCCATGGGATCTGCAAAACGACTAACTCCTCGGTCATGATGAACCTCCGTGAATAACGAAACGAGCTCACAGTGCTTTTGGAGAACGAGACAGGTGAGTTTGCAACCAAGCCAGAACCAAGAGGATTCCACGCGCTGTAGTAAGGCAATCGCACATTGGTGAACAGTGCGTAAAAGATCCGGGAAGTTTGGATGAAATGAGAAGAGCTGAAAGAGAGGAGATGCACTGTTTGAGAGAATGACGGGGAGGAGGAAAATAGTGGCACGAAACACCAAAATGGGACTGGCTTACACATAAGTGTACAATTCAATGACAATGTTTGGCAGGAGAGAGGCGTTTTTTAAGTATTTCATGCAGTCATTTCCCTTCAGAAATTTTAAGAGAACAAGAACGAACAACATTTGTGTGGGATAATTTGAATTCAGTTTATTTCGTCTTTTCTCATTCAGCCGCTTACAGACAAATCGTGAGAAGAGTAAAGGAATGCAACTGCAAACAGGGTAATAAAAAATCAATAAAACACTGAGATAGTCAAGGGCATCGCCTACATGTTACCAGGACAAGGCAAGACTGGCCACAAGGTCGAGCTATTTGCAAAGGCTAGGTTTCACTCGCCGGATGACGGAGGCTTCAGCGAAACGAAGCAAGCTCGCGTTGTTCTGTCTGTTGAGAACCTTGCATGTGTCACGTGGGTTTGCGCACAAGGTGCAATCGAGCAGATGCTGAGTGATCGAGCTGACAGGAATTATAGGGCCACTATTTGCCAAGTTGATAGCCTTCTCTCGGTTCGACCGATATATGTGCTACTACAAGTACAGGTGAATTGGTAAACACATGAGGCGGTAACCTGAGTGTGAGCCTTATCCAAGTTGGATTCATGAGACAGATTTTTGGTTTGATGTAACAACACGAGCTCAGCTGGGTAGTAGCACCTTTTTATGGCTTGGTTTAATCAGCAGCAAAACCTTGTCGTTATGTTCCCCTTCGTATGGTAGCGTGATAAAAATCTTTTTCTTTGGGACATCCATTTTATTAGAAAAGTCATTCCCATAAGGGGGGATACATTTGTTCGGATAGCCGTGTGTAGGGTAGACTCGATGTATCGTAAGACAGCCTCGATTGACTCTTCAGGGCATATTCGGTGTGCTCTAACAAAACAAGTTCGAAATAGGGATCGTTCATAGTGCAATGGGCAGTAATTGCTGAAATGTAGGCATCTTCCGGTGCAGCTCGGTTTACTGTAAATCGATCTTATGAGTGATCGATCTTTGTTTATCTCAAGTGCAACGTCAAGAAAATGAAACAAATTATCTGATTCACTTTCCATAGTGAACGTGATATTAGGATGGTATTTGTTCAACGTTTCCAAAATGACTTTTGCTTTCTGATGTGGGAATGACGTTGCCAGGAAAGAAAAGTGAGTGGATGTCCCAAAGATAAAAGGTTTTCACGCTACCATACAAAGGGGAACATAACGACAGAAGATTTTGCTGCTGATTATGCCAAGCCATAGAAAGGTGCTACTACCCAGCTGAGCTCGTGTTACTTATGAATGGAAGGATTTTGGTGAGTATTTTTGTTCGTGTTGTTACATCAAACCAAAAATCTGTCTCATGAATCCAACTTGGATAGGGCTCACACTCAGGTTACCGCCTCATGTGTTTACCAATTCACCTGTACTTGTAGTAGCACATATATCGGTCGAACCGAGAGAAGGCTATCAACTTGGCAAATAGTGGCCCTATAATTCCTGTCAGCTCGATCACTCAGCATCTGCTCGATTGCACCTTGTGCGCAAACCCACGTGACACATGCAAGGTTCTCAACAGACAGAACAACGCGAGCTTGCTTCGTTTCGCTGAAGCCTCCGTCATCCGGCGAGTGAAACCTAGCCTTTGCAAATAGCTCGACCTTGTGGCCAGTTTTGCTTTGTCCTGGTAACATGTAGGCGATGCCCTTGACTATCTCAGTGTTTTATTGACTTTTTATTACCCTGTTTGCAGTTGCATTCCTTTACTCTTCTCACGATTTGTCTGTAAGCGGCTGAATGAGAAAAGACGAAATAAACTGAATTCAAATTATCCCACACAAATGTTGTTCGTTCTTGCTGTCTTAAAATTTTGCTTGGCTAGAGAATATTTCAGGAGAGCGGAAAGTGGAGCAGCAACCGGGTTGACACTAGACTCGAAACTATTGAAGCAGTGCTTTTATGTCCCCATAGAAGCTGAAAAGGAGAGTTAATCGATTTTCATCCTCAACTTCTGCTTCACCATGACATTCTGCGCTTGATCGGTTATGCCCTCCTGAAGATCATGTTCCTTTGAAGGCTAAAAAGGAGAGAATAGCAAAATCTCCCCCGTGATTCCCCGCGTCCTTATCCCAGCATGTCATTACTCGGTGGTCAATATTACCCAATATCTCATTCAAGATGTCCTTCTGGATGAATTTCGAGTCTTTAATGCGAAAATGATGCCGAGCAATGCCTAGGCTCAGTCGAGAAGCTATAAAAAGAGGGGACGTAGCAAATGTATTTAACATTCCACTAACTTTCGCTGCTGACATTCTGATGTAATCCTTATACACACACACACACACACACACACCTTATACTCTCATTTCGTGGAATATGTCGCAGACGACATCTGCAGAAGCAGCGAACAAAATATCAAAGCTTGAAAACTCCAGAGAAATTGATTGATCGGCCGGTGGCCGAGTGGTCTGCACTTTTGCTTTCCAACCATAAGGTCACCGGTTCGACTCCGCGTAGGGGTGGGCGTCCTCGCGGTATACTCAGCCCGCGCGTGACTGGTGGTGGTCGCGCGGCAGCGAAGCGCCGTTACGGCGTATAAGCTGACACCTTAGATAATTTTAGAGGATCAGAAAAAACCTGAGCATACTGTTACTATTCAGACACACTCTACCGCCACACCTGTCAATTATCACACCAAAATATGCATTTTTAAGCGAGAGTATAAAATATTTGTAATATACTGGGTTTAACCTTATGCGCAATTAGCTTCTCGTAAAGTGGAGAAATAGACTATTTATCTACTTGCTTAATTTGTTTAGTTATTTTGCAATCTATTTCACACACACTTCTAACTGCCCATAAAGATGACTGGAGTTCTATGCCAGGACTAGCTGTGCTCGATGCAAGTGCCCACCAACTAGGCTACTTGCTAGGGGAAACGGTCAGCCGCTAAAGGAGAATGCAAGGTGGCAATCTTCATGACAGTTTCAATCTAAGAGACTGATTCTACCACAGCTAGGACTATGGCCTGATCACCACTCTGTGTACACCTAACACACATGGTACTAAAAACTCCACTTTGGAGATGCAGTTGTTGAAAGAGCGCTAGCCGAATACGAATTCATCATAATAAGCTAGAAATGATATTAGCCGTGCACAAGTATCTCGAATCAACGGCTTTGCATCTACGCAATCAGCGGTTGCATAGCCCATGTCAGCATGCATCTCAGTGTTATCCACTTGGGCAAGCACTGGACATAGGTGTGGACGAAACCGTGGACGTTACAGTGTGAATCAACCACGGCCCATCTGTAGATGCAAGCGCCCTGTGGCTTCTCGTCTGCATGATGCCAGTCAGAGCTGGACATAGACGCCGTCAATCGTATGGACATGGATCCGGCTATAATGTCACCAAATACGAGTTGTGTGGAATCAGAATTGTTGGCTAAGAGTACAGAAAGAGAAACACAAACATTTTGATGCGACTAACGGAGACGTGTGATTGATTTGACAAGGGCACTGTCATGAACATGCAACCCACATAAAATAAGATGGGGTATGAGGAAAAAGCGTTAGACTCGGGAGGTGCTAAAACAGTCGTCGTTTCGGAAATCCGCAATCCTACGCCACTGTATATCCTAAAAAACAATCGCAATTGCTCGAGTGCACAAATAACTAACACTATGCTGAACAAGTTGTGATCACGGTTCCAGTGCATAATCCTTAGAGGGGCACGCAGTCATCATCATCAGCAATCATCAATACACAGCCCGAGATGAGAGACAGACCTCAGCTAATGTGTCGTAACACAAAAAGGAGAAGAGATTGGACAATACAGGCTAAAAAAGTTATAAAATAGTAACACAATGCTAAATATATCATTATGCATGTGGTTTAAGATCGTTGTTGGTAGGGGAAGCTAAAGGGGAGGAGAGGGACAGAGAAACTCAGAACATAAACGCCACTGAGGGCGGCTCGTCACAATGTCAGCTGGTGTATCCAGCCAAACGTGTTCAGCGTCCTTCGGAGACAAGACCGGCAGTCGGAAGGCACTGACTGACGCCAAATTCGAAGTGAAGGCCTTCATACCTCTTGACCAAGTAATCACTTAGCATCCCCGCTCTTCTTCCATCCACAGCACCGGCGTGCAAACAATGCGAGACGCGAGAGTCGGTGTGCTGGCATGCGAAACACATGGTCCAGCCATGGGAGCCTGGCACATACAGTGGTCCAAACAGTTCGCCTCGCCAAGTAATGAAGACTAGCACAGTGAGCATCTTTCAACCGTTAACAATAAATCACAATTCTATGACCGATATTGGGGCTGTGTACACCAGCTGCGGTCCGAGGTGTCAAGATTAGCGGTGAACAAGTTTCTGCATACACTTGGGCTATTAGCAACTTGGTGCCACCACCAGTAGTTAAATTGACGTCCGTGAAGCTGTCGTATGGTTTGAAGAACAACGTGACGCCGTTGCGATAATATAATATTCTGAACACAACATTTACAGTACATATTGTGGAAACTCAACCCAACGTTAATATGCAAGACCTATAAGCAGCAAGTCATCGATTCCATAAAGAGGACCCATTTCCCATAACCGCCAGAATAGCTCTCCAGGAAGCTCAACCTCGCATTTTATCTGCTAGTTTATTTGCAATTGCGGTGACGCACACATAGAAAGTACTTACCACTGAGTGACGCAAATGATGGTATGACATTTCTTTAAGCTAAGGCAATCGCTGTTACAAGGTGGTGGATCAACGGATGAACGGGGATCCCATCTCATTTACAATCAAAGAATCTCGACAACTCGTTGTCAGGTGAATCTTGTCAACTAAATCGAGGAGTTGGTGCATAACAGAAATCCGAAAGTGTTAGTAAGTGTAGAAGCGATACTGACAATGTTATGCCGAGAAACAACTGAGCCAATTAGCAAGATTGCCGTGGAACTGAGGATGTAACATGCACCGATTCCACGCAATCTTAGCGATGTTACTAGGCTTTCGATATACGCAACTGCAAATGGTTCTCACATGTATTGCGTTCGCGACTGATGAGATTTATCCAAACCACACTCAGACAAGCACCACAATGCCGGAAAAGCGTTGGATGATTTCATCCTACTGTAACTAATTGTCGGAACATATTCCGTTTGAACCTTCCAAGATTCACCAAGAATGAGCAACGATAAATCGCAGCTAGTAACCAAACATGGTGAGCGGCCTCCGTCATTCATGGTCCCGTGATAAAAGATGCCGCTTCATAAGAGGACAATCGTAGGTTGGACTTTAGTAAGATCCGAAGTGTGTGTGTGGGGTCACTGATAAGTCCCATTAGGATGAAATGGTTGCTCTGTGTTTTCGCCAATTGGAAGACTTAATGGAAATGAACTCACAGCCTGGTTTCATCAAGTGCTGTGTGGTTGGCAAAAGCTGGAAAACTCTGTTTCACTTACCTTAACAATATTTAAAAACAACTTGAACAGATCGACGCAAATGCCAGGATCTTGCGCGCCACGGCACACGCGTGTTAATACACTGAGCAGATCGCCCAACTGTAGACCGAGATCTGACGGCTTGTCAGATTGAAGTAATGCACGGTAAATAAGAAGCAATGATTTCATGGAACAAGACTGGAGCGTTAAATGGGAGTGTGTAGAGTGAGTGAACAACATTAGTTGTTTGGCGAAAGGGTCCAAAATGCTATTCAAAGATCTCAAAGCTTCCAGCTGGAGTACCGGTTTTTCCAAATTTAAGGAATCGATTGCGACATCCAAAATGCGACTAGCCTGTTTGATTGATTCTTCCTCCTAATAAGAAAAATACTCAATTCACAAGTTGAACAAACTTGGAAAGTTTCGCGCTCCCTGGGTAATTTGATTTTTTTTCTGATTAAGTCAACCACAGTTTCATTTTGGCGTTTGAGCTTTCGCCCAACTTTAATTCGGACTTTTTGAAAATCCACATTCTTCTTTTTCTTAGACATTGGAAGTCACGCCTAAAAGAAAAGGAAAGGTGTGGAGCTTTAATCGAAGATCGATCCATTAATAATGGCATTAGCTCAGTAGCGCATTAAAGTATTATAATAAGAGATTTTGCTAAAAAAAGCATAGGAGGCTAATTTGTCTTACCACGTGATTGGAAGGAGGCGACTATTGTTGCCATCCACAAGGGGGGTTCTAAGTCCTGTTAGTTTAACCAGCATCATGCTGAAATGCTTGGAAAAGCTTATATGGAACAGGATTTGTGAACACTTGACTGAGCACAATCTAATTAGAGCGGAACAGCATGGCTTTCTCAAAAAGAAGTCTTGTCTTACCAATTTATTGTGCTTTTTAGACGAGATTACCCGTTGTCTTGATGGTGGGATATCGGTAGAGGTGTGCTATTTGGACTTCAGTAAAGCCTTCGACTCCGTGAATCATCGATTTTTAATTGAGAAGCTGACATGGTTTGGATTGCATCCTCAACTATTACTATGGCTCTCTGAATTCTTACATGGAAGGACATTCAGAGTCAGCGTTGGGGAAGCGAGTTCTAGTGTTGGCCATGCCTACAGCGGTGTCCCCCAAGGTTCGGTTCTGGGTCCATTGCTGTTTTTGTTATGTTTATAAATGACCTGGCTCCTCTTCTTGAGGATCCCTGCTACATCTTCGCAGATGACTGGAAGCTAGTCAGCAGGGAAAACCGAGCGATATTGGCTAAGGACATCATCACTGTGGCGAATTGGTCAAGCCAATGGGACCTACCTCTAAATGCTAACAAATGTCAACTATTGACTAGTAGTGGTAGTGGAACTGCGGTTCAGTCTTCTGTGGGATCTCTATCATTGCGGTGTACTGACGAAGCACGTGATCTAGGTGTCATCGTAGCGAACAATTTTAAGCCTTCGACACAGTGTCACCATGCTGCTAATAAAGCACGACACGAGTTATTTCGTCTTAGGAGGGCGCTGAGTAACACTAAAGCAGAAGTATTCTTGCCTTTATATAAAGCAGTGGTTAGGCCACATCTGGAGTATTGTGTTCAGACCTGGTCACCGTACCTCCGGAGTGACATCATTTGTATAGAAAAGATTCAGAAACTTGCGACCAGGATGATTGAAGGTCAACGAGGGAAGTCTTACGAAGATCGTCTAAGTAGCTTAGGATTATTTTCCTTGGAACGGCGTAGGTTGAGAGGGGATTTGATAGAGACGTTTAAGATCATTAAGGGACTTAGTGGCATTAGTTCCACTCATCTGTTTGAGTTGGCTACGTCAGACTATCTGCGCGGGCATCGCCTGAAGCTCAAACATCACAGAGAGCTCGTTTGGACATCAGGGCAAAGTTTTTTACGAACCGAGTAGTTAACTACTGGAATAAACTTCCTTCTGATTTAGTGGAGTCTGAGACCGTAGAAGCCTTCAAAAGGGGTTTAGACAATTGTTGGTCCATCCTTTTTCCAGAGCTATTGTAGTTGTACTGGTATATGTAGTGTATTTTGATGCTGGCATATGAAAGTGCAGAGATTGCTCTTGTTCTTGCTTCATTCCATCGCAGAAGCAAGAGACAATCCAACGTCGAAGTGCCGGGGGCCGCTTCACTTACCGGCACAAGAACTGGACGCTCGTTAGGCGGAAGCCTCTATCGTCTATCTGACCTGACCTGAACATCCTCCCACCAGACTACGACTAAGCCAAGGAGCCGTGATTAATCATGGCGGGCCGCTACAACTGATTACTAGCTGTAATGCAGTGCATTCAATGAGCCCTGTGGGATAACAATAAAGTGTCAGCTGTACGGTGTAACGGCGCTTCGCTGCCGTGTGACCACCACCAGTCGCACGCGAGCTCGGCCAGTGACCGAAAGGATCGAACGCTTGTAATCCGGAGGTAACTCGTTCGAATCCATGTAGACTCGGGCGACCTCGACGTATACACAGCCCATGCGCGGCTTTTAATTGTCGCGTAGCAGCCAAGCGTCGGTACGGTGTGCCAGGATATCGCTAACGTCCTACAGAGCTCGAGTCTTGCAGCCGGGCTTATGATACGCAGCAGATATTGATCGACAGGGTTTTTAAAGTCAGGGCGTATTGCCTAGTGGCGTGTCTGCAACAAAGTGCACACTTTGAGACACGCGAAGCTTAGCGAAGATTGATGGCTCTAAAGAGAAGCGGATGAAGTGAGGCTTGGCTGGACATGGACTTGTCGACGGGGTTGGAACAACGCCCTATGATTGAAGGTGATTCAAAACGAGAAGGCATCAGCAGAATTATACACGCTAACTGAGGATGGAAATACAATACAATACAACCAACTAAATGGTAGTGGATAAAAAGAAAAAAGTAAAAAAACGAAAGCAAAGTAAAACGAAAAAATATGTTGTGCGTTGAAGTTAGGCGAGAGGGAAACGGACAAAGAAACTCAACACAAGAGTCACTGATGTTGGTTCCTCGCAAGGTCAACAAGTGCATCCAGCCAAACGTGTTCATTGTCTTTCGGAACTTTACCAGAAGATCAAGAGGCTCCAACTGAGGCCAGTTCCGGTGAGGACTTTCCATTCTTATGGATTAAGCATCAGATGACAATCCCCTCTCCTCTTTCATCCAGACTCTGGTAACACAAATAAAGCACGGAGCAGGAATCGGTGTGTTGGCATGCACAACATGTAGCTCAGCCATCGGAGTCTGATGTGTGAAATAATGGTTTGGGAGATTTATTATTTTGGAATAAACTTGGAACCGACTGGGATATCATAATTTCCCAAGTTTTAGAGTACAAATCAGTTTTCTGTAGGCGTGTATTGTGATTTCGCGCAAAAGGTGGTAGGTTAGACAACTGAAACAGATGAAATAATGGTTAGCTTTGAGCTTAGCTCACTATTTACGAAGGTGAAAAAGGATGACGCGTTGGGGATAGCACAACGCTATCTGACTGAGGACAGTAGTCTGGGGAAAAGAACGAAACTCACAGCAGACCAAATAATAGAAGGAATGAAAGTATGTCTTGGTATGTCATATTTCACGTTCCAGTAGAGGGTGTATGCTCAGGAAAAGGGTCTTGTCATGGGGTCACCAATATCCCCCGTACTGGCAAATCTATATATGGAAGAATTTGAAAATAGCTCGCCAAAGATTTGTTGGCGTTACGTATATGATACTTCTGTTATCATTAAGAGGGAGAGAAAAGAGAAATTTAAAAACCATCTGAACTCCATTAATGGGAACATGAAATTTAGGATGGAAGTAGTATCGTGCGGGGGTACACTCCATTCCTTGAGTGTTTAGTTCACAGGAACGGTGTACAGCGAAAAACAACCATATATCGAAAACCAACAGATACAGATAGAGTAGTATATTATAGTTCAGGTCATCTGAAACACGTGTATGCTGCGATTTCACCCTCCGTTTCACAGGGCCCAGGCTCTTCTGTGAACTGGGCCCAGTTAGTTAAACGTCAATTGCAGAGAGCACTAAACCCACTTTTACGATGTAGGACGGAGTGGATTGGGACGGTGGGAATCCCTGATAAAGAGGGAACCTCTGAAGCGATCCGGCAGGTATTAAACAAAGAGAGGATAAAAGTGGTTTTGCTAAGAGGTCAAACGCTCCGTTTAGCACTGGTGTATTTGAAGGATCCACTAGCAAAAGATACGACGACCAATTACGTTTATAAAATTAGTTGCAGGGATTGTGCGCAAGTGTACATAGACCAAACAGCGAGAGAACTACGCATTAAGATAGCGAAACAAAAAAGGCGAGTTTCGCGTCCACCAAAAATGAGCCTGAATACAAGGACTTACAAAAAGATTCGGCGGTAGCGGTATATGCGCTAGACTGGGAACACGCAAGCGACTGGGACGATGTAGAGATCATTAGGAAAAGAGCAAGAACGACAAGCCAAAAATTAATTGCTGGGGCGTTAGAAATCACCAAATTGCGTAAACTATTGAACTCGGTCGGCCGGTGGCCGAGTGGTCTGCACGTTTGGTTTGCAGCCATAAAGTCACCCGTTCGAAGCAGCGTAGGGGTGGGCGTCCTCGCGGTACACTCAGCCGCGCGCGACTGCTGGTGGTCGCGCGGCAGTGAAGCGCCGTTACGGCGTACAGCTGACACACTTATCGAACTCGGTCAGTCTGAGCAGCTTTGGCGGACGCAGGTTTGAGTGGAAACGTCGAACTATCATAACTAAAACCAAGAGCAGCACCATCACTGCATCACATGTGAATGACCCATTACACGGATCAATTGGAATAGTTCCAAACAAACAATTTCTTTATGCTCTGGCCACCGCAGAGGATAACCAGCGGTGCCCTATCTGCTGCATCGAGCAGGGTGGATAGGGGTTTGGATGCTACTGCTCAAATCTTCCCCTCTTTTTATTCCCCCTCTTACGCTTCTTCTCTTTTACCGTCCCGTTCCAACTTCACTTTTATCCTCCCACTTTTCAACCCCCAATTCTTGGCCCTCCCCCGACATGATTTGCTAGGCATTTATCTTCTAATTTTAACTCACATTTGAACGCGGAGCGTCACTCCTCTCCTGTCGACAAGCCCATGTCCAATCAAACGGTCCATTCCAATTCATCGGCTTGCATTTGGAGCCCTCGATCCTCCTTCAGATTGGCATGTCTCAATGTACGCACATTACTACAGATCGGTCAACAGGCAGCACTTGCTCGAACATTGGAGATCATCTCGATCGACATCTGCTGCTTATCAGAGACTCGCCTGCAAGACTCGAGCTCTGTGCTCACTCTGCGATCCCCTTCAGGTGACGCAAGCAGTGTTTTCTCATTGCGCCTATCCGGTGAGAATGCAGCTTCGAGCACCGGCCAAGCTGGTATTGGCATTGCCCTGAGTCCCCGGGCTGAAGCTTCTCTGGTTGATTGGATTCCAATCAGTAGCCGGATGGGTGCGGTCCGATTGGCTGGCTCCTCTAAAGCTTCGAAGTTGCGCGGGACTAATAGGTGTCTATGCATCCACAAACTGCAGCGATGATTTGGTA